GTGCTTTAGAATTAGCTTCTGCTAAATTTTCAGTGCGTTGGTGCTTCAGAATTAGGGGACCTAAATATTTGAGTTAGTGCTTTAGGGTTAGTGGAACTAATTTTTAGATTATTTTTAAAGGTAAACTAATCTCTGACTCACAAACCTTAAACACTAATGCATTTATAGAGTTTGTGTCTCAGCTTTAACTATTTCTTTTCCAGGTACTCGCATGGTGAGGAAGTTAAAGGGGCTTACCACTGCCAGTTTGGCATCATAAATAATGGTCAAAAAACACCTGACTTCATCAAGGGGTTGGAACTGACTGGTTCGGTGATGAAACGTTTATTTTCAGTTCATTCAAATTCTGACATGTTTTATGTTTTAAATAATTTATGAACTTACTTAAACACTAATGTGTACCCTCTTACAGGTCCAGAATGGATTTGCAACACTTAGTCTTCAATTAGAAAAAGTTCGTTTAAAACTCATGGAACAACTGAACCAAACCTTCTCTGATTTGATGGAAAGAGAATCACGACTCTATGTGGGAGTATTTGTCACAAACATTCAAAGTAAAGAATACATTTATTCATAATGGTTATTCTAATTCACACTTTGTTCCAAGACCACGTCAACATAAAATTGTGCTTTATGGATACGCRAAAATAAATAAATAAATAAAATTGTTGTTTCAGCCTTGCATGCACATAGGAACAGCGTTTTAAGAGCTCCTAAATGGTATTTTTAAAAACAGGGTTCCATAGTAAGAAAATCCTAAAACGCTTTTGTTACATTCTCATGTGAACCGCTTTATCATGACCTTTGAAAAACAATGATGTAATAGTTTCACCACCTGCATAACCTATGACCCCAATAACAACAAATTAAATGCTTGTATTTGTGTTACAGAAACCAGTAGCTCAACTACAGTGAAACTTTATTATGCTGTATTATTTCAATAAAAAGACAAGGCTGATGTACAAAAAAACAGCTTTAAAAAACAGCTAAAAAATCTGTTACTACACCAAACAATCTTAATCACTTCACTGAATTATCAAAAATACCAAAGCAAAGGTTACAGGAAAAAACAATAATATATAAATAGGGGATAAGGATAAGRAAACAAGAAACRTTAAASAGGACATATGTAAAATCCATATTTTTATCTGTTAAATATATTTTGTTGTGTACTTGGGAGTCTCTAATGGCGCAGAAAAGTTAGATTTAGTCTCTCCTGGTGCTGCATAGATAAGTTTATATTCTGTTTGGGTCATATTTTTCAGCCCGTTCAGTTTTCCCTTTTTTCTATGACATTTTCTGAACTATTATGTCAAATTATCATGTAAGGCTGGATGGACAAATATTCTGTTGCTGACATATTTTAATTAAATTGTAAATAAAACATTTCTGCAAGTTAGAAAACATAACCACCCCATTCCCTCCACCCCCAACTTCCCCAAACCAGAGTGGACCAGTCTGGAAGCTGGAGGGAGGCGGGGCTTGAAGCGCCTTAAAGGCACAGTATTAAAACCAGTTCCTTTGAGACACACATCAGAAATGAGGTGAAAGAGGGCCTAGAGAAGTTAGAACAAGGATAAATTCAGACCAAAACATTGCAGATCCACTATATAAAGATCCCAACTGACTGATTTAAATATGAAAAAGGAAGGATTTAAAAGCATTATATGTTAAGTAAAATTGAGAAAATATAATATTCCTGTGCACATTTCTCCTTTTAGGTGGTGAAATACAACAAGGAGTGGTTTACCTTCCAATCATTTCCCAAAAATACATTATAGATCTGTCTCGAACCCGTTCTCATTTTCTTCCTGGATATCCACTCGATGTGGTGGTATGTCAGAGACAAACAAATGAGTAAACTGCTTATTTGCTCATGATCCTAAAGATAATTGCAAAAAGTATTAATTTTTTTCATATAGGTGATCACACGTCACCCAGATGGTACCCAAGCAGCTGGTGTGCCAATAAATATGACTGTAACTGTAGACAAATCTTCACAGGAGTCATGGAAAGGCATCACTGATTCAGACGGGGCAGTGTATCCTGTCTTTAATAATCTTCATGGAACACAGATCACAGTTCAAGTTAGTACTCATAAACTCAGCTAATCGTTGACTCAAATACTTGTGGCTTAGTTTTAACTGTTTCACTTTGGTCTTTTTCCAGGTCACAGCAGATGGTGTTCAAAAAAGCAAAATTATAGAACGTGTTTCATCTCCAAGTAACAGCTATCTTCACATGGCAATTGCCAACAAGATGTACTCTGTAAATGATGTTATTTCTGTAACATTCACAACAACTGAAGGCCCAAGTCAAGGATATATATACTTTTTGGTGAGAAAATGAATACCACACGTTTTGTTTTTTTTAAAGGGAAAACATTGTCAAGATTGATTTTTCTTGTTTTGGTTTTCTTCTGTCTTGCAGGTTGTAAGTCGTGGGATCGTAATAAAAGACGGCTCACTTCTAACTGGTCCATCCGTTACACWCAAAGTGCAAATAACAGCTGATATGGTTCCGTCTTTCCGCATAATTGGTTATTTTCACGGCACAAATGGTGACATTGTAGCTGACTCAGTGTGGGTCGATGTCAGAGATGAATGTGAGATAAAAGTCAAGGTGAGTAAACACAACAGATAAGAGTGCAGCTGGGGCTCAGTGGGATACCAAAAAACAATCTTAACCTCAGTTGACTTAACTGAATTAAATATAATCATTTTTTTGTAAGTTGGACACTATCATTCCTGCAGTGTGGGGTTAAACTTAGAAATTTTCAAGGCTTCAGACTGACATTTTTAGTATGTCTAATCCAAATTGCAGATGTTGCAGCATAAGTTTTGTTTGGTTAATGCCACATTGTTTTGTTTTTGGTATTTGAAGTCTATTTTGTTTAAATGTATTTTCTTCCAGAAAAGGGGCAGATGTAAGATTTTTTTTCTTCTTCTACTGCCTTTCAT